GGTTTATTAAGACAAGTTACGTAGTTTTCACAGGAAGTTTGTCTACAGTAATGAATTCTGAGTGTCTGTCCACAGTAAAATCCTCCTAACCGTGCTCGATTTTCAAGGATCCATCTTTGGGTTGTCCCCATATCAGGAGAAAGGTGCATCGAAGCCTTACGTAAGAATGACTTCAGCGTGGTCCACGCCATAAATGGTGACTTTACGGGTCCATAAAGCCTACACTAACGATAACGAATTAGGAGCAAATCGCCAGTGCTCGACATCAAACAGCTGTATCGCTTTCTAAACTGTTTGTTGAAACACGCGAATAATTCTATCTATTTCTCCGCAACATTCGGGACCCCTTGTATTTCAGACGTTTAGGTCATCCGTCGGCCCACTTGCATCGGTGCACGTGAAATTCTAATGTTGCTCATTTTTTATGTCGCTTTGTGTACTTTTGGTAACCCTTCCGTGACCAGTTTCGATAAGTTCAGTGCGCCTTACATTTTCCTCCAAAACATTATTTGAAAATTTTGGTGAAAATCCAATTTGGGAGGGGGCACTCCTTGCTATCTTATCTGTAGTACTAGTAAGTACAAGGGTAGTGTTATTTTTAATTAGGATGAGATAATGTGTCAACGACTCATTTGAAGTGCACTTTTGTTAAAGACTGGTTGATGTCTAACATTCCACACCTCCTACTAACTATATTGCAAAAATTAGTCATCACCGGGGATCGAACTCTGGACCATTTCTTCACCACTGTTTTGACATTCCTGGAGGCGTTCAGGAAAAATGGATCATGGTTCTGTGTTCCTCGCATGAGCCCCTACAACATGCAGAAAACCATTCGAAAAAGCGCTCCATGTCCTGAAAGACCTCCCTTGGTAGGCCAGGCGAAGGTCTCCATTCCTTTGGCTGAGGACCGTTTCCTTGGACCATTGCACGCCACATTGTGGAAGCACCTCAGGGGTACTCCTACGCTACATTGGTACTTATCAGAAGTACACTTTAAATGATCGATTACTTTTATTCTT